CTGCACTGAATAAACTCATACGGAGAAACATCCGACGGGTAGCGAGTGGAGAGACCCACCAAACTCATCTCACCTAATGCCACACTTTTTTTTGGCTAGGCACTGCTCTGTAGAGCACACAGAAAATAAGGGTCCAATTCTCAGCGGGTGTGAATCTGCATGGGTCTACTAAAGTAAAGGGAGCTACACTGATTTACTCCAGCTGAGGATCTGGCCCTAAAAGTGCAGGCACCGGAGTCCAGCAGAGTTAAAGGCTCCTCAATATGCACAGGATAGAGAATAAAAGAAAGAATAGCGTATAGAGAAAGGATTAGAGAATAAGACAGAGACTACCTCTGCCTCTCTATACGTCCATGGGCCTATGTCTACACTATATCCCTCTTTCGAAAGAGGGATGTAAATTAGGCAGATTGAAATTACAAATGAAACCGGGATTTGAATTTCCCGCGCTTCATTTGCATAATGGCAGCTGTGCGTTCTTTAGAGCCAGGGTATTTCAAAAGTGTCTAGACGCGGTTCTTTCGGAAAAAAATACCCTTTTTCGAAAGAACCGTAATGCCTGAAAAAATGAGGTTTACCGCTTCTTTCGAAAAAGGGTTTGTTTGGTTTTTTCCGAAAGAACCACATCTAGACAGTGGTTTCACTTTCGAAATACCCCTATTCGAAAGAACACGCAGCTGTCATTATGCAAATGAAGCACATGAAATTCAAATCCCGGCTTCATCTGCGATTTTGATCTGACTAATTTACATCCCTCTTTCGAAAGTGTAGACATGCCCTGGGACACTCACAGCTTGAATACTGTGAGCAGATGCGGTTGCTTCATCTTGAAAAAGAGATCTTGGCATTGGAAAAGGTTCAGAAAAGGGCGACAAAAATGATGAGGGGTTTGTAACGGGTCCCATATGAAGAGAGATTAATAAGACTGGGACTTTTCAGCTTGGAAAAGAGACGACTAAGAGGGGATGTGATAGAGGCATATAAAATCATGACGGATGTGCAGAAAGTGAGTAAGGAAGAGTTATTTACTCCTTCCCATAACACAAGTATCAGGAGTCGCCAAATGAAATGAATAGGTAGCAGGATTAAAACAAACAAAAGGAAGTTTTTCTTCACACAGTGCAGAGTCAACCTGTGGAACTCCTTGCCGGAGGATGTTGTGAAAGCCAAAACTATACCAGGGCATAAAAAAGAACTAGACAAGGATGTGTCCATCAATGGCTACTAGCCAGGATGGGTAGGAATGGTGTCTTTAGTCTGTTTGTTAGAGGCTGGGAATGGACGGCGGAGGATGGATCACTTGATGAGTCCCTGTCCTGTTCACTCTCTCTGGGGCACCTGGCATTGGCCACTGTGGGCAGACAGGACACTGGGTTAGGTGGACTTTTGCTCTGACCTTGTGTGGCCGTTCTTATGCTCACTGTTAAGAGAGGAGAGCCAGTGACCAGTGCTGTGTGTGGACACCCAGCAGGCCGGGGCAGGGGACGAAGGTACCGAACAGGGAAACAGGAGGGAGCTGGAGGGTGGAAACCCAGTGAAAGTTGCTGAGCAGGATGCTTGGTCAAGCCCCTTCGGTGCTGACGCATCTCGACTGCAAGCAGAGAGACCCATTCGCCCACGACAAAGCAACCATTGCCTCGCCCTCCCGAAGAGCAGCTGTGCACAGCCAGGTGCCCCCGGCTCTACGTCAAGCCGGCACGCCCTGCTCTTGGGCCCCGGAGCCAGAGGCCAGGGATGGCACCGCACTCCGGGCTGACGAAGGCCTCACCCCCGGCGTGTCCCACACACCCGTCCTGTGCTCGCTCTGGTGCAAAGGGCTTCACGGAGCAGGCAGGGAGGGGGGAGAGACACCAGGTCCGGACGCAACCCGCCCGGATAGTCTGAAGTCCTTGCTCCCATGGCAACCGCAGCTTGGCTCCCGCCTGCCACAGTCCCGTCCCAGCAGGGCACAAGGCTGGAGGCTCTGAAACTTGCCCCCCGTCGGTCCATTCCACCACCGTTGTCTAGCCTGTGGGCTTGGGAAAGCCAAGGAGATGCTAGGCCGGGGGCAGCCCCTCCCCAGCGCTGCTTCTGGGTAGAGGCCCGACCCCCGGCACCTCCCCTGCAGAATAGCTGTCAAGGCTTCTTCCCCACTCTAAGAACATAAGAACGGCCGTACTGGGCCAGACCAAAGGTCCATCTAGCCCAGTATCCTGTCTGCCGACTGACCAGCACCAGGTGCCCCAGAGGGGGTGGACTGAAGACAATAATCAAGCGATTTGTCTCCTGCTATCCCTCTCCAGCCTCTGACGAACAGAGGCCAGGGACACCATTTCTATCCCCTGGCTAATAGCCTTTTATGGACCTAACCTCCATGAAATTATCTAGCTTCTCTTTAAACTCTATTATAGTCCTAGCCTTCACAGCCTCCTCTGGCAAGGAGTTCCACAGGTTGACTACACGCTGTGTGATCAACACACTCTGGCACGATAAATGCAGAAGTGGGGGCCCGCAAAAGTACCCTTATCTTTCCAGGCTTTGGTATAAAATGTCCCCCCAAAATCTTAACAACCTAGATTTTGAGGATAAAATCCCCTGCCACCACCCAAGTAAGGAAGAGAAAATCAGATCACTTGGGAAATCTCGCCTCTAAAGTACAAACCAGGACACACAAAAATTAACCCATGCCAGGTTAATAAAAAGAAAAGAGAAAGAACTTTTATTATCAACACAATATTCTTGTTGCAAGCATCATGACTAGATGGAAAGTCACAAAGTAATATCCTCATGGGGGAGAGGGAGAAGTCCCGACCGTGGGCCAGGAGCTTAGTTACAAAGGACAAGAAAATTTCTAATTGCACAGACCAGATCCCATTTCCCAAACCAGAAAACAATAAAACGGATTTATCTAAACTTTACCCTACTTACATACAGGGAAGAGTCTTTTCTTAGAGGGAGACATTCTGTCTGTCTCCCTCAGCAGCTGGAGAGTAACTGCCCAGACCAAAGGAGGGAAAACCCCAAAATTCCTTTGTCCCAGTTTGGAATTCCTACCTACATTCCTATTGGCCAACTCTACCTGGCTTAGGTATAGTTAACCCCTTAGTCCCCAGGCTGCTGCCTAACCCTCGTGATCAGGACAGTAGCAAATCCCAGAAGACCCTCCCAGGACAGACCCCAAGCAGACTCCCCGCTCTGACTGTTGCCCAGGATGTTGCAATGGGTGGAGACTTGGTATAGACCAGCCCTGGCTTTTCCTCGCCACCGGGACCTCCCTAAGTATAGTCGAGGCTTGCTCAGAGCCACGGGAGTCGGCTGGGCCCTCGCACATAAGGGCTCCCACCAGGCAAGCGTGGAAGGAGGAGGGTTTGGTTTCCGAACAAGGCTTCCTCGAGGGAGGAAGGACAGTCAAGGGCCAGGTCTGGAGATCAGATGACATCATGGGCAGTGGGTACCTATGTTAAAACAAAGCAAGGGAAGTTTTTCTTCACTCAGCACACAGTCAACCTGTGGAACTCCCTGCCACAGGATGTGGTGAAGGCCAGGAGTTTAACAGGGTTCAAAAAAGAGCTAGATAGATTCATGGAGGTTAGGTCCATCAATGGCTATTAGCCAGGAGGGGTAGGAATGGTGTCCCCAGCCTCTTTTTGTCTGGAAATGGGCGAGAGAAGAGGGATCATGTGAGGATTACCAGTTGTGTTCCTTCTGTCTGGGACATCTGGTGCTGGCCACTGTCGGCAGACAGGACACTGGGCTAAATGGACCATTGGTCTGACCCATTCTGGCCGTTCTTATGTTCCCCAGCTGCCTTATCTGGTCCCACCCATGCCCAGCCCCGTGTCGTGCCTGCTAGCCGGCTCTCTGGAGCTTGGGGGCTGGGGCTGCACCACCCGCCAGCTCTCTGGGGCTGAGTCAGGCTGGGACCACACCACCACTGCTCTTCAGAGCTCTGGGGCCATGGGAGGTTGGGGGGGTGCCACCCTGGGGCATGGAGGTAGCAAGGGCCAGGAGTCACATTGTAGGGTGCAGGGAGGGGGGAAGGCTGGGCAGGAACCATCAGGCCACGGCATGCGTGGGGGGAGCATGGGCTCTGGTGGGCGTGGCTAGGGGGGGCATGCCTCCCCAAGCCACGGGGTCACTGACCGCCCATGGGTGACGTGAGCTTTGTTCACCATGTCTCGGCACCCCTCCCGCACCATAGCATGAGGGCGGTGAGGGCCCTGAGGCTAGGTCCATACCTGACCGAGAGGGGCTGGGATCCCCGGGTGAGGGATCCCCAGGGGCCGTTCCCAGTGCGGCACAAACGCTGACCAGCCAGCAGCTGGGAAGATGATGCCCGGCAAGGCTAAGTGACCCACCCAAGGTCACACTGGAAGTCTGTGGCGGAGTGCCGCTCGCCCACGTCCCAGCCTCGCCGGCTGACTGTGGGACTGCCTGGGCATGCTTGCTTCACGCCCTGCTCCCCGGCATTTCTAAAGATGGTCTGCGCCGGGGCCCGGGTCCCTCCGGTGCCCCCCGCTGCCCACACAAGCAAGGAGGGGGCCCAAAGAGCTGGTGTGCTGAGTGCCGCCGGTGCAAGGGGGGAGCTGTGGGAACCCCCCTGCTCTTGTCCGACAGACGACCCCAAATCGATGCAGGATCCCCGGACAGCCCACAGTCCAGCCCTGGCGAGCCTCTGGAGGTGCACCTGGCGGGGGG